CAATGTGTATATATATATATATAGGAATTGAGTGATATGTATATAAATGCCCCAAATTCTTTTTATACAGGTAAATGCTTCTGTCAGGCTCTTCCATGCATAATTCTTCCATCTCTATACTATAATTGTCAGTATTCAGTACGTAGATTCATATTCTGAATCATTATAAGTGGCATTTAATGTAGTAACTCAACTACCGCATTTAATTTAGATACTTAAATTATTTCATCTACCTCTCTTTAATGCCTTCATCTGCACGTCCAAAAAATAAATAAAAATAAAATAAAATAAAATAATCATGAAGATGTCGACGTACGTTGCATCGATCTCATGCATGTTTAATTAAACTAGGATTTTGTCCATATACTGTCCTTTACAGTTTAGATCAAAGTAATAATGACGCTTATAAGTTATAATAACAAATTAACTGAAAATAAAATATGGGGGTACGTCTCATATTAAAATTTTCGTTTTTACAAATTCAATTCTTTCATGTCACATCAAATAATAATAATAATAATAATAATACTAATTATAACTTTTTAATGTTTGAATCCTATAAATATGAATGATTAGATGTAAGACGTAGGCAACGCTGCGTACGTCAGGGTTATATAGAGGATACATGAGGTTATATTTGTGTTATATCTTTTGTAACCTCCTTGTAACCTATCTGTAACCTACAAATATATGAAAACAGAACCGTGGAACTTAATAGAAGGTACAAGTATGTTACATGTAGGTTATAGATGATATAACACTGATATAAGACCCTTGTACCCTCTGTATAACCCTGACGTATGCAGAGCTGCTTACGTGTTACGTACGCAAGTTTTTCCAGATGTGAGATAGGTAAATCGATAAGAATTGCATGTTACGTAGGTAATTTCACAAATTTTTTTAATTAAAAGATGAATTTGATCGTCTGAAATATTCAGAATTTCACATATAAATACGAAAAATGTTAGATGAAATATGTCAATTTTGAAAGAAATACTATCCTAATTTTATATTAATTTAAATATTAATTATTTATTTTAAAATAGTTAGACTATATTGCGTCATATATTACTGAAATAGCATTAATTTAATATTAAAAAAAATCAATCTAATCAAAAACTGAAAATGGTGAAAGCTTGTCCTCTGTAAGTCAAGGATATTAATTCACTGTTCCTTGCAGCCAAAATCCCCACCACCACTGATATATCAACTTTATCACTATGAAATGTTTTTTACCACCTTGATTTTTACTTAATTGAGCAATGTGCATGTTACCGTTGGCACCAATCTCGAAGCAATTAATCGGTATAGATCTGATCTTTATACCCAGATCTCCAATAACAGTACTCTTAATGTTTAAACCCACCATCGGTCCGTTCATTGATGTCATTTGCATGAACATCAACAATGGTTTGCTACGGTTCATCATCATCGTTTGAGCTATCGAGGGGAGACAACACTGCCCATCAATATTAATTTCAATGTTATATGACAATGCTCATAAAAATATCAGATAAAAATCGTACCTAACACTCATGCATTTACATGTCTACAGCCCATAGTTTGAGATTTACAGTTATAAGGTGTCAAAAATCAAAGTTGTAGTTCATTATTAAAATGTTGGTCATGATGATGATATTTTTTTTATATGATTTTAAATATTAGAAAGTTATGCGTGTAAAAATGAATGTTTTTGTTTAGTTCTTTTAGGACGTTGAGTTCTTTATTGTCTGTGGGTTCTAACAAATTTGGAGAATTTTGTGTGAGGAGCGTGAAAAAGGAGAAGGAATGGTTCTCCAGACCTGAACGATATGTTCTTATACAATGATCCTTCCCCGGTAGAGCGGAGAAGATGATCCAACGAGCAAGAAAGAATAAGAGAGGAAGCAAGAGAGATACTGAGAGTTGCATCGTCTGGTCTTTGATAAACACCTGAAAGAGAATCTTCCTCCTTACATCTCTTTCCCCTCTAGTTATACATGTTGCCAAAATGTTAAAATATGAGTTGAAGTTTCTAAAATCTAACCACGGTGTTTCAATTAAAAAAAATTATGATGTGGATGTCAAGCAGCTCATAAATGAGAAAGTTGCATATGTCAATCTTTGATGTTGGTCTGCATTCTGTCTATTCTAAGGATTACCGTTGAGGCAAGTTTGGCGGATGTATATGATTGATCGATCGCTGCACTAGGTGACGTGTCTGGTCAGTTTGCCAGATCCATCAAACATTTCGGGTCGACAACTGATACAGGACACTAACATTTCGATGAGCAAAGTTTGTAGGCTACCTTAGTAGGTTATTCTAGTTGTGGTTGTATCTTCTTAGTAGATGAGCTTATCAGACCCGTATCGGGCCACAAAAGCTAATTTTTGGTACACAATTTATACCTTAGATACGTAAATACATAAGAATTGTGTGTGATGTATGTAAATACCCCATTTTAACAAAAGAAGTTAAATCACCAATTCCTCCCTGGTAAGCTTGCTAAATTCCTCTGAGCCAATTTAATTCACCGCCAAATTTAACAAAACAATCTATTACTTTTCCTATTTCAATATCAAACAGCATTTAAATGTCTTTATGAGCTTTTAAGGTGCATTTAAAGTTAGGGTACGATTCATATTTATAATGTATGTTGACTTTAATCATCTTTGTAAAGCCTGCTGCTCCCTCTTTTTTTGTATAATTTTCTGCAAACTCAACCTACTAAAGATCACTTTCCACCATGAAAACACAAAAATTAATACAATCATACAAACAGTAACCCACAACCAGAGCATATTTCTACATGTTTAAAGCTCTCCCTTTTAAGTAATCAAGCTTCTCTCTTCCTCAACTATAAATAACTTATAACACACCATCTTTTCTCCCACTGCAACTTCAATGGCACCCAAAACCACCATCTTCAAGCTCACCTTCTTCTTCATCTTCTCCCTCACCAACTCTGTCAGAACAGAGTGCAAAACTGAAGAAGTTAAGGGAATGTTTGTGTTTGGTAGCTCCTTAGTGGATAATGGCAACAACAACTACTTGAAGAACTCAAACGCAAAGGCAAATTTCTCTCCTTATGGCATAGATTTCCCACTTGGACCTTCGGGGAGATTCTCCAATGGAAGAAATGCCATTGATGTGCTTGGTGAGCTTCTCAGCCTTCCATGCTTTATTCCACCTTTTGCTGACCCGAGAACCAGTGGGAGAAGGATTCTTAATGGAGTCAACTATGCCTCTGGGGGGTCTGGAATTCTTGATGAAACTGGAAAATTAGCTGTGAGTTCTATTATTATTAGGCTTATTTGAACTTTTGCATTAATTGAAGTGTTCAATTCTAGGAAAAATTATTGATTAGATAGATTCAGATTATGTGCGAATGATGGTACTTTTGGTAGTATTTATGATATTATGATGATATTGTTGTAAAATGTCACCACAATGTCAAGAATACAGCCAAAAGTACCATCAATCTCTCCAATTCTAGAGTTTTGTTTGTTACTGTTATGAAATAATAAGAATGTTGTGGTTCTTTGGATGAATTAATTATTATTTAAAAAATTTGCTATTTATTTATATAAAATTTGCAGCGGATCGTGGAGTAATTTTTATACTCATATATAAATTTGCAGCTGATCACGAAAATGTATATTTTTCTTTTAAAAAGTAAAGTAGTCATATTCTTGATGTGATATGATCATATGAAACATTCGAGTTGTATTAAAGTAAAAAAGTAAAGTTTAGGAATTATATATATAAATACATCATAATTGGGTGCCATATAAAAATTACTTATTACCAATATTTTAATCTTACTTTATGTAGTAATCTTAAGTCATATTCTTAATAATTTTTTTTATCAATTATTATTGCTAGACTCAATAATATATATGCGTCACAAGCTGTGGCTTGTTGGTTGGCGGGATTCACTTTAAGTCTTCTCAGGTCACGGGTTTGATCCCCAGTGACGTTGGGTTATCGAATATTTAGGCACATGACGCAGATTCTCATCACGGGGTCAAGAACATTGGAAATTGGTATTTCGGTCTCTGTCAAATACCGATATATATGTTTTTTTGCTTTAAAAACATCAAAACAAAAATATTGATAATAAGAATTAGAAAGTTTTACAAATATACACCGTCTTACCGGTGCATGAAATAGTGTATTTCAATTTTCAAAACTTACAATGGTGATATTTTTAATTTGATATGAATCAATATTTGGGAGCAAAATATATTAGAAATGTAATTACAAAAGTATTAGATAATATGTTTGAATACGTTCCTAAGAATTATCATAATTGTAGTATTAATGCTTCTATTTTTTTATTTTTATTTTTATTTATTATTGATTTTCTTTGTCTGTATAGGGGGAGGTGGTGAGTTTAAACCAACAAATAAGCAACTTCGAGATGATAACGCTACCAGATCTTGAGGCTCAGCTCAGAAGAGCAAGTTCCAAAACCCAATTTTCTAATGACTACCTATCAGACTACCTGTTTGTTGTTGGAACAGGTGCTGAACTATTTTGCACCTGTTATGAACCAAAAACCCTCACTCCCACAATTCACACAGCTTCTCGAGTCCAGTCTGACAGGACAACTGGAGGTATATATATTCGCACTATCTTTACTTCAATTAGAGGATGATCATAATACATGACCTCCTGCATCTGTTGTGCCATGCAGAAACTCTACAGTCTTGGAGCTAGAAAATTTGTTCTCTTCTCCATCCAACCAATTGGTTGCATTCCAGTTGTGAGAGAAAACATAATGATAAGTAATGGAAGTTGCGTGGAGCTGTTAAATGAGGCAGCTTTTCTCTTCAACAATCTTCTTAAATCACAAGCCCTGAATTTGAAGCAGAAAATGCCTGGCTCCAATCTTGTCTTCATCAATTCCTATAATATTATAAGATCCATCATAGACCATCCTAATGCTCATGGTATTGTATCTTATTCTTTACATCATACAATACTAAAAAAATAAGTTTTTGCAGCACACAATTTGTTAAAAATATAAATTTTGATGTTTTATTATGTATGTAAATTTTTTTTTGTAGGGTTTTCTGATGCAAATGGAGCTTGTTGTGAGCTCTCAGCACTAGAAGGAGAGGGTATACTGTGCAAGAGAGAAGGGATAACATGCAGCAATCGAACAAGCCATGTGTACTTTGATGGCCTTCACCCAACTGATGCTGTGAATTTGAGGATAGCACAGAAGGCTTATTGTTCTGATGTAATGGAAGAAGCCTATCCGACTAATGTGAGAAATTTGGTTCATATGTAGGTTATAATATTATGTTAGCTAAGTATGTGTGCTTCCTAGGTTTGAAGCATATTTAACTAGGAAGGGTGAGTGAAAACAATGTGTGATATTATGCTTGGCGTGTTGAGCTAATTAAATGAGTTTGGTGTTGTTATGTTCATGGCATCAAGCTAATGTTGTACAATATGTATGATCATCATGTTATGTAATTATAATGTTGTTATAGTGACGAAATTAAGGCGAGTGTTGAGAGTTAACCATATTTTGATCGATGAAAGTAATTGATGCAATGTTTTGGGGAAAGATTTTGAGATATGAACAGGCCCAAAATATCACTTTACGCTAGTCAAAAAGGTTTGGTAGCTTTATATAGCACATGCTTAAAGATGGTTATTTGTTATTTCAAGAATTAAAAGATTTCAAATTAAAAGGCATTTTTAATCTCAAATAGAAGAAAATAGGTTACTTAGTAATATAAAGCTAGGATAACCAAATATATGATGGCTCATAAATATTTTTATCTTTCTTCATAAGAGAAGATTATGGATAATAATTACCAGGGCAATGTTTATTCTCTTAGGATACTTCATCAAAGTATTTAGTATGGTTCCTCATACCTTAAGTGTTATTTTGACCCCCAATTAATGAACTAAGGTAAAAGGACACTTTTGTAATGTGGTACCGCTCACCTACCACATCTCACCTACCGTTCATCTACCGTTCAACTACTGCTCACCTATCTCCCACTTACCACTCTCTTGCTTCTATAAATAGAGAGGGTGTGAGGCTTAGGAGAGCAAGGGAAGAGATCTTAAGCTACCACAAAGGAGGAGAAAATAGCTAGAGAGCTAGAGAGGAGGAGAGCATCTTGAGGCCTTGTATCAAGGTGTCGCTTGAGAGGGAGGTCATAGAAGGAAGATGAGGGCTCATCTCTATGTATAAGCTATGTATTCTTCATTTCTTTTGCCTTAGTGAACTATTTGATTGATTCCCTTCCGTGGACGTAGATCCAGTCGGATCGAACCACGTAAACGATCTGTGTTTGCTTGTGTTTTTTTTCGTCTCATTTCTATGACAGGATGTACATATCTCAAAACAATTGGCGCCGTCTGTGGGAAGATCCATACTTCTTAGCTAGAGGTGTCCGCGTAAAGGTGTTCGCGGCCAGCGATGAAGAAGAGGAGTTCGACATTCACGAACAGAGGAGCAAGCGGATCGCGTCGTAGGCAGCCGAATCGCGACAGATTCGGTGAGCAGTGGAAGCTTTGATCGACTGGATTAGCACCGCAGGTTGTGCGGTTCGGCGAGACGGAGGAGGAACTGTCCACGAAGGAGCAGAGGGAGGTGGGTAGTTCAGTCCACGAAGGGGCATATCTCACGAAGGAGGAGGATTTCCGCGACAGCTAGCACGCGCTACAACAGAAACACGCCGCGACAGCTCTCAGAATTCATTAGGTGCTCAACAAAGCGGACTTCACACGTTATTGGGGATCAAGTCACAATAATGGGTTCCGCCAAATTCGACATCGAGAAATTCAACGGTAATAATGATTTTGGTCTATGGAGAGTAAAAATGAGAGCTTTATTGGTTCAGCAGCAGGGTGTTGCAGAAGCCTTGCAAGGGTCGGCGGCATTGCCGACCGACATGACCAAGAAGGAGAAGATCAGCATACTGGACAAGGCCCACAGTTTGATAATCCTGAGCTTGGGAGACAAAGTTTTGAGGGAGGTGTCGAGGGAGACAACGGCTCAAGCGCTTTAGGCCAAACTAGAGGTACTCTACCTGATAAAGTCTCTGGCTAATAGACTCTTTCTGAAGCAGCATATATACTCCTTCAAAATGCATGAAGACAAATCCGTCTCAGAGCAGATTGACGAGTTCAACAAGATCATCGA